CTAAACTTCGTCCCACTAAAACCGAACTCCCTCGCAACTAGGCCTACCCAAAGAAAACATCTTTACCCCGGGAATCTGAGGCCCCTTTTTCCCAAACGGGCCCTTGCGCTGCCAAAGCGTTTTACAGACCCGGCGGCAAACCGGGGGGGAAAAAATTTGCCCAAACGGTTTTAAATGCCACCCCCCACTTACCCGGGGAAGGGAGGGACATAAATAGAATTAAGGAAAAACGAACGGGGCAGATCGCGCCCCCTCACCCCTTGCATGGGGCGAATGATTTAGTCAGTCCCTTGGGGGCTGCCCCATCTAGCTATAAAATTTCCATTTGCCACAACAGGAAAAATTAAAAATGAAAAATAGGGATGAAAGGGAGAGACTTTTTTTTGTTTTATGCTCAGTAAGGCAAAATGATTGAAACCCATTCCTTTCACTAATTAAAAAACTTGATGCAGCGCTAACAAAAGGGAAACTCCACGTCGCCGGGTGGGGAAAGGTTTTAAACTTACAACATACCAATTGTGTGTCGAGTACCAGTAACCCCCATTACTTGAATTATAAACATGACTTTTGTAACTGGGGCTCCCTCAATCTTGGACCAAAAAGCCCTTTCATCATTAAAATTCCTAAGCCCAATCAACAAAATCTTTTCGCCCAAAAACCTCTTACTAGCTGCTTGTGTAAAACATTTGAAGAATAATTTTTAATCGCTCATGTACAGAATCAAACAATTTTTGTCCCCCCGGGTTTACAGGGGTTTAAATGCATGGAAGGACGTGCATCATTGAAATAGCCACCTTTCCCCCCTGCACACGCCCACCCCCTACACTACCTTCCTTACCTTAAATCCGTTTTTCCATGTACCAAAACCGAATGTAATAATTAGTGAATTTTGCCAGAATGGTTTGTTGGGGGTTGGCTTCTCCGCTGGTTAAAGGCTACCTGTCCAACAGAAAATCGTTGTGTTTTTCCCCAGGGACATAAAAGGAAACTAAAGACTTTAAAATTAGGAACCCCACAGGGAGGTTTTCTCATCCCAAGGTTTCAATATTCAAATTTAAATCCCTTATTTTAAAGCTATGCCTACCCAGCCCCATAATTATGTGATTATTTTTTCTGATGAAAAAATGATTCACGCCAGGGGGTTTCTCCAACACCCAAAACTTTTCCTTAATCATTTTAACAAACCTTTCGTTCAAAACCGGGTTTTTGATAATCTTTTACTGATAAAAAAAAAGCCTAAAAGGGTTTTTCCTCCTCGACAAGAGGCACATTTTCGCCCAGATCCAATTCCCTGAGGGTCCTCTTCTAAAATGTAAGCAGATACAGGTATCTAGTTTTGGGACCACAAACTTGGCCCCTGTTTAACAAGACTTTGTCGCCATACAAAGAACACGAAGCACTTCGATTTGGGGCAGGGTTTTCCCCCCAGGTAGGTGCAATTTTTAAAATTGTGAAAATGATGTATCTTGCTTAAAATTAGTTCTTTGGGTTGATTATGCGGGCGCCACTATTTGGGCTCTTGTGTCCTGACTGGAAGCTTGGAGGGCGGGAAAAAAACTGCAAAACGAAGCAATGGGGAAATCTCCTAGGATGCCCTCTACTGCCAAAAATTTTTAAATATGCAAAAAGAACTTGATTTTCCAAGCATAAAGGATCGTGTTACTGAAAGAAATATCCTAATTGGGGTTAATATGCCCGGGGGAAGCTCATTCAAACCCCTGCACAGAAGCCCTCCAAACTTTCCTCAGCACTGGGGAACACTCCTCCAATGGGCGAAAAGACTGGAACCGGGGCCCCCGCATGAATCAAAAATTACATGATCTAGTCAAGTAAGGAAAAAGCGGCCCCTTCTCCGCCCATGGGGGAAAAAATTTCCCCCCTTCCAAACTACCTTTCCTTTCCCTTTCCCCCCCAAAACTTCTGCTTAAATCACAACCAAAAAATTCGCCTTTAAGCCCAAAAAGAGGGCCCTTTAAACGTATTGATAACTTAGTCACACAGCACACACTTTTCGAAATTATTTACGTTTTATGGGTTTTGTTTTAACCCCTCCACTGGGCAGCTGGTTTTCTGCTGGGTTCGTAAAAGAGTGATGGCTCTCTTAAAAAAATTGGGGCACGCATCAAAAATTGGGGGCCCCTTTCCCTTCAGACAGAACTGTTTTCCAAAACCTTGCACTGAAATGCACAGTATCAAAGATTGAAAAGTTTAAAATTTTAACGATTTCCTGTCATCCTTTAAAAGCTCTCAAATCATTTAAACATAAATTGTGGCATGCTTGTGTCAGAACCAACACAGGTATGGTAGGGTTGGGACATGGGGTCAGAGTGCACTGCGTGGATTCCATCCCACATTGGGTTTTCAGAAACTATAGAACGATAAATTGGCTAACTGTATGCTTTCAAAGAGGGGGTTTGATTTCAATCTTGGCTTGTCAGGTAGTATTTTTAGAAAAATAAAAACCAAAAAAAATTCAAAAGAATTTTATGGGCCCTTTAAAGGGTCAGGGAGATTGACACCAAAGAAGGTCCCCTCATCATCATTCTAAAATGCAGGGGGGAGCCACATGTCCAAGGGCATCCCCCCAAAATAAGCAGACTCTTTATTTTCACTACCCCCGGCACCGGGTGGGGTTCAAGTATCTTTGGCAGGGTTAAAAACACCACCCAAAACCCCCAAAGTTTAAACCCAAACCCAAATTAAACTTTGGGGGGAAAAGGGTTTTTGCCCCACCCTTTCCCTCATTATTTTACTGGAGTGTATAAAAATTTAAAGAATTTAGAAACAACTCACCAGAATTGGGTTTAAGAAATGGCTAAGTATTTTAAAACCACTTGGGATAAATTTCAGACCATTCTGGAAAAATACCCTGACTTTTCCCAGGGTTTTAAATAAACATTACCACATATGTGCTTGTGTGGTTTTGTGTTGTGTGTTGGTTGTGGTGTGTGTGTGTGTGGGGTGTGTGTGGTTTTGTTGTGTGTTTTGTTTGTAAAGGTGTGAGTGGTGGTGTGTGGTGAGTTTTGGTGTGTGTGGTTTTGGGGTGTTTGTGGTTTTGGTGTGTGTGTTGTGGTGTGTGGTGTGTTTGAGTATAAATGTGTGTGTTTATGAGTGTGGTGTGTGTATGATGTGTGTGTGTGATGTGTGTGTTGAGTGTGTGGGGGCGTGTGGGGTGTATGGGGGTGTGTGTGTGTGGGTGTGTGTGGTTGTGTGGGGTGTGTGTGTGGTGTTTATTTGTGTTGTGTAAAGAAAATTTTTATGTGGTGTGTGTGAAGAGAGAACTCAAACAATCAACAATTTTCACCCAAAAACTCACTAAAAGTTGTTTACCGGGTGGAAGTGGGGAATTTCTCATTACTCTAAAATTTGTTTTAAAAAAGATTTTTCTGCCATGTATAAAAAGTAAATAACCCTTCTTACAGTATTCCCTTCCTTTTTTAACTTGTGAGTTCATTACCTTTTTGGGAACTTGGGGTTCATTTCCTTGTACCTAGTTCAGCCACAAAACTTTTGGGGCCCGGGCCCTGGAAAACCCCTTTTTTGGGCCTCTGTAATCTGTAAATTTCCCTTTTTAAATTTTCATTATTGTGCCCAACCACCTGGAGTTCCCTTTAACCCTTTTTAAAATTTTGAGTTCAAATTTCCTTTTTAAATTTTAAATTTATTACCTCGGGAACTTGCTCGCCATCAAAACTTTTAGGCCCAGTCCCGGACCAATTATGGGGAAACCCTGTAATCTTTTTTAAAACCGCCCACAGATGGGAAAGGGTGCATAATAAACATATTAAACTAACTTGCAGGGGGTCTTAAACCCAACAACCTGTTTCCCCCCATTTTGTACCATTTTTTTAAAGTTATTAACTGTCCCACAAAATTTCCCCAAGGGAATGAAAACCCCTCAAAACCCTTTTTAAAGGTATATTTAAAAATCAGCCTTCCGAATACTAATGTAAAAAGCCCAAACCCAAAGTTATTTTCTTATGAAAATTTGCTAGGATTTTTTTTTATATGGGGAGGGGTATGCCCAAAACCCGGGTTAAGATTTTGTAGGCCCCCCGGGCTACAGGGACTTGAGGGCCCCCAGTGATATTTTTAAAGGGGAAAAAAAAAATAAAAACATCCCAAAAGTTTCCTATATACGGATATAAAAAACATAAATATAAATTTTAAACTTAAAAGCAGTAACTGTGAACACTTTTCCCCTTAAAACCCCTGGAAAGGGCCCCCCAGCTTGGGGGAGGCCCTAGGCCCGCAACCCCTGGAGGTTTTTCCAGCTGGTGGGGGACTCTGGGGGGGCAAACCCCCCGGAGGTCCCCCACTGGTTTGGGGGGACCCTAAGGGTTTCAACCCCCAGGTCCCCTCTGGTGGGGACCCAAAGGGTGCAACCCCTGAAGGTCCTCCAGCTGTGGAGGACCCGGCCCGCAACCCCTGGGGGTCCCCCACTGGTGGAGGACCCGGGCTTCAGCCCCAAAATCAAAGCTTTAATCCAGCCCCAAAGTATTTTTTCTCAGTTTTTTGTCTTTAAAAGTTTACTTTTAAACCCGTTTTTGGATTAATTTAAAAGTGACTTGACTTGTGGTGAACAGGTGACATGCAGCCTGACTCTCGTGTGGTTGATAAATAACAAACCTACTTGCTCGCTCGCTCGCTTACTCGCTCGTTTTCGTACCTACTTTCTTACCTACTCATTCAATCACCTACTCGGTCGCTCACTCGCTGTCATACCTACTCACTTTCTTACCTACTTACTCACATTCTTGCCTACTTATTTTCTTACCAACTTTCTTACCTAATTGCTCTCTTAACTACTCTCTTAATTTCGTACATACTTTCTTACCTAATTACTCACTTTCTTACCTACTTACTCACATTCTTGCCTACTTATTTTCTTACCAACTTTCTTACCTAATTACTCTCTTAACTACTCTCTTAATTTCGTACATACTTTCTTACCTAATTACTCACTTTCTTACCTACTTACTAACTCATCCACTCACTGACTGACTCATTGTTGAGAGTGGATCAATTAGTTTAAGGTTGGTGGTGTTGGTGGTGTAAGCGAGCGACCACTCGCCCTGCAGACCACCACTACACCTTGCTCACATTTTTTTATTTACTTACAAAACTACTTACCAGGGAGACAACGACTTGCAAGTACTTTCCCAAGCAACTCTTTCGTCCATGGTGCTTGTCACTGCCTAGGTGGGTAGTAATGACAGTACTTGGCTTGTCTTCCCTGGTAATAAAGCTGATGCATGTCTACCCCCAGAGGAAAATAAAGCCAATGTGTTTAGCTTTATTTGGTTATTTTATGTTGATTTACTCTTCGAGGGTGGTTCTTTCGTGACAGTGAGAAGCTCTTGATCCAAGGGATTGAGTTTACCCTTCCCTTTACTTGGGTTGAACGTAATTGCCTCTCGTTCCCTGGACACTTTGACCCCCCCATGGGTTTAGCGCTTCCCCATGATTAGGCTAATTATGATATTAATGAATTAAAAGTTAGGCATAATTGAATGAGTCTATATGTATTTGACACGTGTTTTTATGTAAATTTTTAGGTATTAAATGGAGAACCCTTGTGGGTTTAGCTCTTAGGTTTTGATTATAATAATAATGTGCAGTGGAGAAAAATATATATATAGTATGTTTAGTGTCTTATGGAGAAAGAACTTTTTTTAATATAACCAAGGGAAATAAGTCACTGACTTGTTTGGGGGTTATCTTAGGTAATTTACACATGTTACTGCTGTATAGCCCTTGTGGCTTAGCACTTCTTTTTGATTATAATAATAATACACATGTTACTGTGTATGATGATTATATTTATGTGTGCATATACCTGAATAAACTTATTAAATGTAATGGTACCCAGACTACCTAACTGACAATTTTACAGCTGGTGTAGGGTAGGTTGGGTTCATTTTTTATTATTAAACTTGTTTATTAAAATGAGGATTTTTTCTTGTTTGTTTAAAATATAACTTTGAGTCCATTGAACAACCCATTTAATCAATTTTTTACATAAATGATACTTTTATTTTGCTTATTGTCATCTAAATATTCAATTTCCACTATTTTTTATGCAGTAGATTACATGGTTGTTATTTATATTATAAAATGTTAATGGCTTATGTTTTGGGAAAATGTACATAACAGTTGAATGATGTTCCTCGGTGTATTTTAGTAATAAATTATAGAATAAAACATCCAACATTGCTTTTAATAACAAGAGCATCAGTTAAGATAAGATTAAGATAAGATTAAGTTAGCAGTTATTAACTTCATTTGATCTGCTTGCTGGTGTGTAGATCAGTAAATTGTGACTCGATGTGTTTTCATCCTATAATCCTTTTTGTCAGTTTTTTATTGTGGGTTTAGTGCTTAGTTTTAATTGTAATAATAATGTTGAGGTGATGTTTTTCTGGTGTTTGCTTTTCTGGATGAATTTCTCTGACATTTTCTAAATTAATGATTTTGTTAGCTTGGTGAGTTATTGTTTCATGCATAGTTTGCTGGCATACCCGGAGTATACCTGGAGAGGGTTTCGGGGATCAATGCCCCCATGGCCTGGTCTATGACCAGGCTGCCTGGTGGATCAGGGTCTGATCAACCAGGTGGATCAGGGTCTGATCAACCAGACAGATCAGGGTCTGATCAACCAGACAGATCAGGGTCTGATCAACCAGACGGATCAGGGTCTGATCAACCAGGCGGACCAGGGTCTGATCAACCAGTCTGCATGCTGGCCGCACGCAGACTGACATATGAACCGCAGCCTGGCTGATCAGGTACAGACTGTAGGTGCCTGTTCAGCACTTTCTTGTATACAGCCAGGTATCCATTGGTAATCCCCCTTATGTATGCTGGGAGGCAGTTGAACAATCTTGGGCCCCTGACATTTATTGTGTTGTCTCTTAGCATACTTGTGGCACCCCTCCTTTTCATTGGGGGTATATTGCATTTCCTGCCTAGTCTTGCTTTTGTAGGGATTTTTTGATTTTCATGTGCAAATTTGGGACTAGTCCCTCCAGGATTTTCCAAGTGAATATTATCATGTATCTTTCTTGTGTGCTTCCAGGGAATACATATCAAGGGACTTCAACCATTCTCAGTAGTTTAGGTGCTTGATGAAAATGGTATATAATACCGACAAGTTGAAGAGTAAGATAAATGTGCAAGAATTGGGTATCTTTATTGTTGAAATGTTTCTCCTACAATGTAGGCTTCTTCAGTCAGATATAGAGGCAAATAAACTGGAGGCAGCTGGAGTAGTGGTGAGGTAAAGATGGTATAATCACTCCATTACCCTTGGAGAAATAGTTTTTGAGGTGGTTAGTTGCTCTGGAGAAGATTTCAGCTCCATAGTCTGGATTATAGTTTGTTGGCATGCGACGACATTCAGTAATTCATCAGTTTTGTTAGTTAGGGAAGTTTCAGCTGCAATGTAGGGATCATAGCGAATTTTATATTTTTTCATTCAAGTGCTGTTTTCACTCTTGG